AACTCAACATTTCCCATAACACAGTCATAATACATTGAGCATTTTTAAAAGTGAAATGTGTACAATGTACCTGATACTCATTGTACAATACTGAAAGATTATAGGAAATATCTATATGGAATAAAAATTTGTTTATTCAGTATCTATCTATATTTCTGAGATGAGGTATTATGTACACTATTCACATTGTTTGGACTATCATCCCCATCTTTATGCCATATTTATCATATTTTGGCCTTATTGTACACTCTGGCCTTCTTCAGGTGGTTGGAATGTTGAACTGAAAACTTTATTTTGCTTGCTGGGGTAGACTGTTCTAGTTCCACGTGCCATGTCTAGTGGATGTCAGGTATCAGTTATCTCCTGTTAATTCCTGCCTTAGCCAGGTATTGAACTCGCACTCTTTGTATCCTGTCACTAGATCTAACTAACACCTTTATCCACTGCGCCATGTGTCCTTGAAGACATCTGTGTATGAATTTCTGGGTATTATAAATCTAATGTCTTCAGTAATCATTTTTTACCAGTGCTCATATTGCAATTTTTGCCAAGGCTTTGTGTGCTCCCGGAGGAGGCACTCTCAGTAGTCAGAGACAGATTGGCCTCTGACTTATCCTTAGAAGAATGGACCAGTATTCCAATAGATAATCTGATGGAAATGTTGACTTTCTGTACACAAACAACACACTTCGGAATGGGATCACACATCACAGGATAAGCGCTTAGCAATGTGTTCGCTATTATCACCAGCAATGGCAAATATATACATGGAATACATTGAGGAAATGGTATTAGAGATGATATCTCTAAGGCCAACTCTATGGTTAAGATATGTAAATGACACCTTCATACTTTGGCAACACTAGGAAGATGTCCAGGTTCTACTGGATCATATGAACTCAATAAGACCTTTGATACAGTTCACGATGGAGAAAGAGAGTAACAACACACTCCCATTCCTGGATGTTCTAATATCTCGAATAGTGCATGGGTTCAAGACATCCGTATACTGCAAACCAACATTCACTGGACAGTACCACAATTTCAACTCCCACAATCCATACAGTGTCTGCTGCTTACAACATCGAGCAAAAGTCATAAGTGGCAACCCAGAGACATTAGATAAAGAATTGGTTAGTATAAGCAGTACCCTACAACGTAACAACTACCCTGGGTATATGGCAGCAGCCCCAATAAACTGGGATAGGTGGGTACAAGAGGAGGAGGAGGACAACAAAACTCAGAAAACAGTCTGCCTGCCTTATGTGAAGGGATTATCTGAGAAAATACAAAGGATCTGCAGTTCATATAACATCAGGACAACCTTCAAAAGCTGGGTAACACTTTGCAGATACCTTTCCCAATTAAGACCCCCCCCCCTATAGAGGAGAACATGACCAGAGACAATGTGTACGCCAGCCCATGCAGTTGCGGAAAGAAATATAAAGGCACCCCCTTAAGGTAAGGCTTCAAGAACACCAGAAAGCTGTAACACTAGGGGAAGTGGAAAAATCAGGTGTGGCTGACTACATATGGAGAGAAAAGGGAAATCACCACCCTCTGTGGGATCAGGTTGAAATCATAGACAAAGAACATCATTGAAAAATTCATAAACTTAAGGAATCGGCACATATGCTAGGCCACAGAAATCTCCTGAGCCGACCAAGCATAGAAATAAATACAATATGGGAACCAGTAATAAGGAGAGCCAGAGAAAAGCAATAATAGCAACAAAAATTGCAATATGAACACTGGAAAAAATGGTTGCTGAAGACATTAGGTTTATAATACTCAGAAATTCATACACATATCTCCTCAAGGACACATGGCACAGTGGATAAAGGCATTAGTTAGATCCAGTGACAGGACCCAAAGAATGTGAGTTAAGAGTGTGAGTCTAGCTAAGGCAGTGGAGAACTTGGAGAGGGGAATTAACAGATAACTGATAACTGACATCCATTAAACATGGCACATGGAACTAGAACAGTCTACCCCAGTATCATGGAACTTCTCTTAAGTGATAATTATCAGAACTTAATTATCAATTTTAACACCTCGAAAACTAAACTTCTCTTCATTAATCATCTGCAAAACCCCTCTCTGCCTTCAATCAGCATGTCTGATGCTAACCACTAGGAAAGTCACTTCTTTTATCTCCTCAGGCTAACGTTCTCAGCTGACATAAAGTGGAAACACTATATTGAATCCGTTGCTAGGTCAGCTGCTAAGAAGGTCAGTTCACTGTGTCATGTGAGACAATTTTTCTTTCCAGACTCTATCTTGTGCATCTATAAGTCTACCATTTGTTCAGGCTTAGAATATTTTTGCCACATATGGTCTGGTGCCCCTGCTGTTTACTTTGAGTTCCTTGATAAGATCCAAAGAAGAATTAGTAATATTATTGGTCTGGATCTGGCAGCTCAGCTTCAGTCACTGTCCCACCGCTGTAAAGTTGCCTCTCTGTGCCTTTTTTTCTTTTTTAGAAATACTTTCATGGTAATTGTTCAGATGAATTCTTTGCTATGGTACCTAGACTATGAATTTAAGTAAATTACTAGATTGGTATCAAGATCTCATCAGTTTATATTTCAGCTAGCTAGATGTAAGTTCTATACTAACAATTTCCTTTCTCACGCTTCTCACTTGTGGAACTCCATCCTGGCTCCATGCTTTCCAGCCTACTTTAATCTATAAAAATTTAAATGCAATGTAAATTGCTATCTATTGTTCTCCTGATTACTCTTTTCTCTCCCTGCTCACTAATGTTTCTGTTTTTAATTCTTCCACATCCTGTAGTCCCTTGTGTTTTAGCATCTTTACTAACTTGCTTGAGGTGATACTGATTAAAAAAAAAAAAAAAACAGTTTGGTTTTTGATGACGAGCAACGTGAACATTTTATAAAAATGGGTGGCAAAATGGATACAAATGAAAATTCTTCAAGAGAAACAAAAGCAAAATTTCTGGTTTGGACAAAATATCTACTAGGAAAATGTAAGAAGTATTTGTTTATTCTTTGAAACAAAAGCTGTATAAATATGGTTTTGACATACAGTAATGCATTGTTATGAAATGTACATTTCCTATGGATTTTATTTTCCTTCTCTTTTTTTTTTTTTGCAGACAAATTTGCTTTCTTTTTAGGCCTATTGTTTGTTTTTTTGTTTTTTGTTTTTTTTTTGTTTTTTGTTTTTTTTTTGTTTTTTTTTTTGATTATTATTAATAGCCAACAATAATTTGGCTTGTTGGAAAATAAATTTTCTTATTTTTGGAATAAAAGTATATTAAAGCAAACAAAATTACTAATGAAAACTTACGATTGATGAAATACCCATAGTGGGTGACATATATAAACACACACATGCACACATCTTTAGTGTGCATATAATGATCATGTAAGTTAAATGTGCATACAAAACTTTTGCACATATGAGTATTATGTATGTAATAATCCTTTTCACAAAGCACACAAGTACTACACTTATTCTTTTTCTAAGTCTTCTAAGTTCAGAATAGAAGTGTAGGTAAAATAGAAAGGTTGGAAAATTAATTTAAAATTAATTTGTTTTTGTAACAAAAATGGACAGGAATTAGATTGGAATTAACAATCAGGTTGAAAGAAAGTGAAAAGTAAAATAAACGGGATCTGGAATAACAGTGGGTAGTTTAGTGAAAAAAATCAAAATTTAAATAGCTGGCTAGACGTGTCTATTCTGGATGCAAAAGTAAGCAAATTTTGCTTGAGGAGCAAGAATATAATCCTCAGCTGAGCACATAGGATAGGTATTATATTGATCGAAGCTAGAAGTAATAGGTCCGTGCATAAGTAAATCTATTACATTTGCCAGGTACTATACTAATGTGTGTGGTATACAATGATTTCACCTTGATTTATTACTATATTATATGTGGAAGCATTTATCTATACATACATATTTTCGATGTATGAGAATCCAACAGCTCAGTTCTTAGAACCAAACAGCCAGACTAGCCACACATATTTGATTATAGTGGTGAAGGCTTGCGCAGAACCAACCACACTTTTTGGAAGAGGTGAATACAGAAAAAACTGATACATAGTGTGCTGCAATTTCACCAAATGACCATCCTCAGGTTTTAATTTCACACTTGTCCTTCTAGGCCAGTTGCTATCCAAGGCTATAGGACCCACTCTGTCCTGCTACTTACTCATAACTGGTGGAGAGAGGTGAAGAGATGATTCACACCTTTTCCAAAGGTATTTGTGTGTAAGTGAATGTAATAAATGTGACTGGAATTTGAACTTGACCCTCTAATTCTTCAATCCAAACAACTATCCATTTCTCCACCATACCTACCTACCTACATACATACACAAACACACACACACGCACACACACACACATTAATGTATACTTGGGCAGCAACCTTTCTTTTAAACATCTTTCATTAAATATAGCTGACAAGGAAAATTTAATTTTTTATTTAGCTTTTCTAGCATCCTTATGTTTTTTCCATTTTGCAGGAGTAAGGAAGTACAAAAATTTTCCATAATTTCATTGTGCCAAGTACTTTTGACTACTTCTTTATGTATGCACGTGTCTGTGTGTGTGTGTATATATATATATATATATATATATATACACACACACACATATATATCAAGTGAATGAATTAATAGGACATTTGAATTTGAAATGATTTTCAAACAATTGTCTCATTTTGCATGATGCTGAGGTTATTATTTCAGTAAAATAGTAATATTTTTGTATTAGTAAAAGTTACATTACCATTCTTTTCACTTGCTGTTCTTTTTATAAGTACTAAGATCACTGTCTACAAAGGATTTACCCTTATATCTGATTTTTTTTATGAAGAACTCGTATCAACATTTTCTAAATGAATGAAAGTTCTATTGTCTATATAAGTTATAACATCAACAATCTTCTTACACTTGCATATTTGAATGTACAAATACACATTCTGAAAACTAATGATTTTTTTTTTTTTTTTTTTTGTTCAGTATGTATGCGCATTTGCTGTATCATCGATATCCTCCAACTGGGACCGGTTAGGTAAACCATTCAATTCTCTGTTAGGTGAGACATATGAGTTAAAAAGGTAAGTTGATTTTTTTTTTTTTTTTTTTTTTTTGCAGTCTTATTGTTTAGACCAAGGTTTCTGAATGTGGGCCATATGGCCCACTTGGTGGTGGTGGTGGTGGGGGGGGCATGATATTTTCAGGGGCCACAAGGCCAAATTTGAAAAATGGGGGAACCATGAGGGAACTCAGAAAATTTAGGACCCGCAAAATATATATATGGGGTGTTTTGTAATTAATAATTATTATTTAAAATAAAATATTTAATTTATTATTAAGTTAAATATTAAATTAATCTAAGCCATTTTGTTAACATAAATATTTACTTATTGTAATTTCTTTATCTGATCTATTCAAAATGGCCATTTTTAGTTTTCAATTTCTTATAATTTAAAACTCATAATTTAAAATTTAAATTAAGGTAAGTTTTCACCAACTTGTTTTTCAATTTTGAAAAGCTAAATGTCCTGAACAAAGAGCTCCAAGGAAATGACTCCACTCTGTTTCTTGCAAGAAGGCAATTAACACGTTTAACAAGAACCTAAAGCTGTCCTGATTGAACCTTAGGCGACGGGAGTTTGCAGAGTTTCCTTCCTTAGCAAATATATCCACGAGTTGCTTGATGATGACCAAGCAGTGTATGTTGATTATTTGAAGCAGTTGCATAAAGATATGAAGACTTATTTCTCTGATCTACTCCAAATGATAATGCCACACTGGTTTGTGGATCCCTTCATTGCTGAGGCATCAGAAGTTGATATCACCCTACAAGAAAGTTTCATTGAATTTCAAAATAACACAGCAACTACAGCAAGGAGGATACCTGAATCTGTGGATAAATGAAGATATGCATAAGAATTACTCACTCTTCTGGAAAGATGTGAAATTGCTCTTACTTATCCCACATTTTACATGGTTCAGTCCGGTTTCAGTTGGATGACACATCTGCTGTCAAAGACTTGAAAAAAGAGGTGATTTATGTCTCTCTCTCTTTCTGACAGCTTTCATGCCAAACATTGACAATTTGGCAGCCCTGCACCAGTCACAGGGGTCCCATTGAAACCATACAAGATGGATCTGATGGTACATGTATTTTTTTGTTTTGTAAATAAATGAATTTATTCAAATAAAATATTTATCCAAATGTTATTATTCTTACTGGAGTTAAGTGTTTTGATGCTATGGCATCAAAACACTAACTATTGAAACTACAACCTTTAATATTCCTACTTCCTTACATATATTAAGTTGAGGGAGGGGGCGGAAGGGAAGAGGGGGGTTCAGAACTCAAGTTGGCATGAGGGGCCATAAAGAACTCACACTGGATTGAAATGAGCAACAACCAGAATAAGGTTGAGAAACATTGCTTTAGACTTTTATCTCTCACCATTAAGTATCTTTACATGTTCCAAATCAGTTTATTGCAGTTTAATTATGAAATTATGTAAAAATTAATATCATTTTGAAAACAATATTTTTGATAATTTGTTACTCATTCTTAAATATGGAATCAAACTTAAGACTTAATTTGTCCTTTGATTTGGTTGTCATAAATTAAAATTTAATTACTTCTTTTGAGATATATATATATATATATATATATACAAAATGGCCGTTTTTAGTTTCTTATACTTATGATTCTACATTCAACACCATCAGAAGTGTTGAAACAAAATGGCTACTTTTGTAGTGATGTAACATCTTTATGTTATAAGTTTGGAATAAATAATATATAGATTTGCATTATCAAAAGAATGAGTTTGTGGTAATATCTTTTATGTATGCAATTTTCATTGTTGTCCCAAATAACCATGTAATTGTGAAAATTAGATTTTATAGGAATCAAAAAACCACATACTAAATAACTTTATATCAGCACATAACTGACTTCAGTGAGAATTAGTGCCATTATGATCATTTTAATGCTTTGTCTGTTTATATTTTAATAGAGTTTAACTTGAAGATGAAATTGAAACAAATTATTGTAATTTGTCAAATAATATTTGAAAAAAAAATCTTGATGAATCTGATACCCCAAAATTCTTTCATCATATAAAGAAAAAAAAAAACTATGAAATCTGCTTTTCTTTTGAAAAGATTAAAAATTATTATTGGAAATAATTTCATGTAAGTTTCAAAACTGTATAAATATGCACTTTCATTTTAGACTAAAAATTTTAATTATCATTCATTTAATTTTAGTCAATGTATTGATTTAAATTTTACATTCACAAAGATATGACAAAACTTTGTAGATCTCAAATAAAAAGCTAAAGAATTAAAAGTTGGTGGATGTACTAGGCAACCAATGTCTCCCATTTATTTTCACATCAGCTACAGCAACAGATACAGAGAGAACAAATAATACCACTGGATAGAACAAGTTTTCAGTGACAAAGTACTATTTTTTCCACACGGCCACTTTTGGGGATGCATTTTTACCAATAAACTGCATGCTGCATTTATAAAAATTTGTACCAGCAGTAATAATACACTTTTTCATACACACTGCTGTGGCCACTGCTGAAATATATTACATACTACCTAGCTGTGCTCACATCTACTGTTTGGTCTCTATAAATATTAATGTTAATGAGTGTCAATAAGTTCAATTTTTCCACATAGAGTAATTTAATGATGTCAGAGGTGATTTTGCTAATATTCTACTCAGCTATTATTTGTAATAAAGTCAAAATATTATGTATAATTGGTTAGAAGGTTCAATCTATACTGCCATACCACCACCATTTGCCTTTCTGTGGACCACTACATTAAAATATGAGGCATCATTTTTGGAGCATCCCTCATATTAAAGTTATTTACAAATTTGTTTTGATTAATATACTTATCTTCATCTGTGGTTTTGAAATGAATGGCAGATATCTAGTGCATGACAATTTACTCAGAATTAATTCGTTCTCTTTAGATTTCATTCTGGATTCCCAAATGTCAATGACCTCTTAAGAACATGTCTGTAAATGTCAAAGAAGTTTTTCAATATCTGTCCTTATTTCTGAGATGAGGTATTATGTACACTATTTACATTATTCGGACTATTGTCCTCAGCTTTGTTGCCATACTTATCACAACGTTTCGGCCGTTGTATACTCCAGCCTTCGTCAGGTGGTTGGAATGTCAAACTGAACCTTTTATTTCACTCGCTGGGGTAGACTGTTCTAGTTTCACGTGCCATGTCTAATGGATGTCAGTTATCAGTTATCTCCTGTTAATTCTCTTCTCTAAGTTCTCCACCACCTTAAGCAGGTATTGAACTCACACTCTTTGGGGGTCCTGTCACTGGATCTAACTAATGCCTTTATCCACTGTGCCATGTGTCCTCAAGAACACATGGCATAGAGGATGAAGACATTAGAAAATACTACCTCAGCAAGTGAAATAAAGGGTTCAGTTCCACATTCCAACCACCTGAAGAAGGCTGGAGCGTACAACGGTCAAAATATTGTGATAAATATGGCAACAAGGATGAGGATAATAGTCCAAATAATTAGGTTTTCAAATTTTGCTTTTTTATATTTCAATGGTATTTTAATGACATGTTTAGCAATTTGATGTAAAATGAGTAAAATGAAATCCTTGTTTGTAATTCATTAATATTTTATTAACAAGCAAGAATCATGGTTGATTTCTTTTTATCTAGATTTGATTCTTCTTCAGAATATTAGGAATGAAAATGATTTTTGATGCCTATTTCTGGAAGTATCTACATGTAAAATAAAAAAGAATCAAATGAAATAAAGATGAAGGATGAAATTACCAAGTATAGCTCAAGTAAAATATAAAGAGATAAGTGGTCAATAATGAAAGCAAAAAGAAATTCTATTGGTTTCTAATCCCAAGTAATTTTGAATGTATTTGGAAATTGTTCAATTTCTGGTTGCTATGTCTGATTGCTGCTTAAGCAGAGGCACTTGAAATTTTCATAAAATTCTTTTTAAAGGTCAACATATTCAAAGAGAAAACAAGAGGAAAAGGAAAAAAATTAACAGAATAGAAAAAGACGTTGAAAAATGATAGAATATGCAATTTGGCATATTACTATGATGTTATTTGTAGAGTAATACCAATATTGATTATGAGAATATAATATTGGAGGCCATAATGCTCTATGATGATGACAGCAATTTTATCATCTGCTTGTTAATATAAATTGAGTTTTAGGATTATATATTGCTATTGAGAAGAAGGATTAGCTTACTAATATTTTATCAAGGAAAATATTATAGATTAACCGAATAATACTATTTCTCTTCAGACATTTAAGATTGTACATCTGTCTTATTTTCTTTTGTTCCTAAAAATACTGTGATCAAGTGCTAGACATTTTATTATATTGAATCATTTGCTAGGTTAGCTGTTAGGAAAGTTGGTTCTTTGCATTGTGCTGGACAATTTTTCTTGCCTGAATCTATCTTACATATTTATAAGTCTATCATTGATCCATACATTGAATATTGCTGCCACATCTGGTCTGGTGCTTCTATGTATTTAGAGATTCTTCATAAAATACAAAGAAGAATCTGTAACATTATTGGTCCTGGCCTGGCATCATGGCTATAGTCACTTTCCTCTTTGGTACCTATGAATTTAAGCACAGTACTAGATTGGCAGCTAGGTCTCACCATTTTACAATTGAAATGGATAGATGTAACCAGAAGTTCTATGTTAACAGTTTATTTGTTCGCACTCCTTACTTATGGAACTCTCTTCCAGCTTCTTGCTTTCCACTCAACTTTAATATTCAAAATTTTAACACTCCTCCCTCTTCTCTTGGACATGAGTAGAGGCTTACGCCTTGTTTCTTGTTTAGGAAGGGGTTCCCGGTACTCTCTCTCTCTTTCTCTCTCTCTGGACTCTGTATTAGTGCAGCTCTGTTTCTCCCGTGATGTGTGCAGTCTGTGGCATCACCTCTTCATTCTGAGGGTACACGGTTGACAGTTCTCTGGTTGCTGTTTCCGACTGGTAGTTAGGAGCCCTGTGTAGCGTCTTGAGCGGCCACTCT